CTAGATCTGTATATAGTATGTGTGTATATGTTGGCTATGAGGACGAAATCACACTGCATGGAAGAAAACGAAACTAATTTCGTCATCATTCAGTAACGTTTGGCATTCTTTGTTGCCGTGGGACATAGCTCGTGCTCATCTTTGTTGCGCTTTCCTTCCCTTCTTTGTAGTTTTCCTAACATGAGCTTTCCAAGCTGGAAGGTTGTTGGTTTGTGCCTCGTAGCGGATGTGTTGGAGCTACAGATTGTTGTAGTAGTAGAGTAGTCTGCACTGTGCACGTATCCCGTACGCACGTGCCCTCACTATGCACGTCCCAAACTTTCGCCGACATCAAAGCAGCTGTCCTGGCCCGTTTTCGTCTCCACGCAGAAGAGTACCGTCAGAGATTTCGATCCACTGCTGTGTCCCCCTCCTGCGGTAACTACACGGAGGTATGTGACCGTCTTTTCGATTTGTTCGACAGGTGGATGTCGCACTCCGTATCGAGTGGCTCTCAGCCCACACTGCAGACGGTCGCGGATGAGATGGTCAGGGAGCAATTGGTCGCTGTTCTGATAATATGGTGTCAAGTGACAGTGACTGAGTTTGGTGTGAATGTAGGACTTGATTGGTGCTAGTGATAGATATAATAGTGTCGCCTTCATGCTGGCACTGTTGGCGTGTTGCTGATCATTTATTAGTAGTTGTATATGACTGCATGCACATGTATGCCACTGTGAGGTGGCAGCACTATCAGCTACAGTTTGCATTGATGTTACTTGCGTTATAACTCTGGCATGCTTCACACCATTATCACTTGCACACTCTCACACCATCAATTGTAGTTATAAGCCGGTTTACTTTGGGTCCACTGCCTGTTCAGTTGATCACCTACTTCTGATTAAATATACGTACTGCCGACGTATCAGTTCTGTCCCCAGACACCCAGCGACACGTCAGGGTACAGCCTAAGCTGGACACCCACCAGACAGCAAAGCTGGGCGACTATTTCGTCCGCGCGAGTACGGTTACCCAGGCGGGAGAAAAAGAGTTTCTGGCTCTGTCACAGGTGTCGGCTAGCCAATACGTGGCGGGACGACGGTCAGGGGATCGACCACCTCAGTTTGCCGGTCGCGGCGCAGGCACCAAGGAGTGTGGATTTTGTGGCGGCACACCTCATGCGCGGAGCTCCTGCCCTGCCAAGGACAAAGAGTGCCGTCAATGCGGAAAACGTGGCCACTACGAGCGAGTGTGCGGGTCTCGCCATAACCAGCAGTCTGTGTCTGCAACCGAGGTGTCCGACACTTACACAGATGACGGAGCGCTTCTCAACACAGAAGCTCTGTTCGTGGGCGACGTCAAGTCCAGCCAACGGTCGTGGAGAATCGGAGTGCTGCTACAGGGCACCTGCGTTGACTTCAAGATTGATACGGGAGCAGATGTCTCCGTTATCTCAGACGCCCTGTACCACCAGTTCCAGAATCCTCCAGTGCTCAAGCCGTGCACCAAACGGCTGATCAGCGCCGCCAACACATCGCTCCACACCGTTGGCCTGTTCACAGCGTCTGTGACGTACCCGCCATCAGGTGCCAGCGCCGTTATCACTGTGTGCGTCGTACAAGGGCTCCGTCACGCATTGCTTAGCTGCAGCGACTCACTTTCGCTGGGTCTTATCAAGCCCCTCTTCTCTAATGACGGCGTTCCTCCAGACGTAAAGCTGTCTTCCGATGTGCCAAACAACGGGCCAAACTCCATGCAAAGCGCGGCAGTTATCCCTCCTGGCTCTGAACCTGTTCCAGTAGCACCCTCTGCAGCTGACCGGATTCCGGAAGCCGTGCTCGCCGACTTTCCGTCCCTGTTTTCCGGTTTAGGCAGCCTCAAGGAGCCCTACTCAATTCCTCTCACCGACGGTGTCAAACCGTTCTGCCTCTACACAGCCCGCAACGTGGCGCTGCCAATTCGCCCACAGGTAGCAGCTGAGCTGCAACGCATGGAGGACTTGGGCGTCATCCGGCGTGTCCTCGAGCCAACAGACTGGTGCGCCGCAATGGTCGCCGTACCGAAGGCTACAGGTGCGGTCCGCATATGCGGAAACCTGAAACCGCTCAACGATGCTGTACGTCGTTCGCATCACCGGCTCCCTACAGTCGACGAGACACTAGATCAGATCGGCGATTCCACAGTCTTCACCAAGCTCGACGCTAACAGTGGATTCTGGCAAATACCACTCGACGAGGCGTCCCGGCTTCTGACTACCTTTACCACACCTCGGGGTCGATTTTGTTACACCAAGCTTCCATTCGGCATATCGTCATTACCGGAAATCTTTCAGCAGCGGATGTCCGCCACCCTACACGGTTTGGAGGGTGTCGTTTGTCAAATTGACGACATTCTGGTACACGGCCGCACTCAGGAGGAACACGATCACCGCTTACGTGCCGTTCTCACGCGCCTGGTCCTAGCGGGTCTCACGCTGAACCCCGCTAAATACCAATTCTCAGCCCCGGATCTCACGTTTTTCGGGGTACACCTCACTCCCAACGGCATCAGACCTGATGACGGCAAGACTGAAGCTATCCGGGTCTTCAGAACCCCGCAGTTGGCCTCAGACGTGCTTCGTTTCCTGGGTCTCGCTAATCAGCTGGGGAAACTTTCACCGCATCTTGCCTCTATCAGCCAACCGCTCAGAGAGCTCCTGTCAAAAGGCAAAGCTTGGACCTGGGACCACGCCCACCAGACGTCTTTTGAGGCCACCAAGGAGGAGCTTTGCAAGCCCACCTGTCTGCAGCTGTACAACCCCAACTACAGTACCCAGCTATCCGCAGACGCATCGTCATATGGCCTCGGCGCTGTGCTCTACCAGCGGTCCTCGCCTGAGACAACTTGGCGGCCCGTAGCCTGTGCCTCCCGCTCTCTCACTCTAGCGGAGCGCAACTTTGCTCAAATCGAAAAGGAAGCAATGGCAATCACCTGGGTCACGACAGCTACTGCTACACCATCATCCATGTACCTGGCTCTCATCTGACCAGCGTCGATGCGTTTTCCAGAGCTCCAACCGACAGCGCAGCTTCATGTGACGACCACTCATTGGAAGCCCACTGCAGCCTGTTCGCCGCTTTCGCCGTGTCTAGTGTCTCAGCGGTCACCGGCCCCACACGCGCTGTGCTGCAAGCACAGAAGGCCGACACAACATGCCAGGACATAACACGTCTCATCCGCGATGGCTGGCCCGCGAGCATACAGGATCTCCCTGCACCTCTCCGCAGCTACTGGCTGGTCCGAGCCGATCTCGTAATCAACGACGAGCTCATCATGATGCAATCCAGAGTCCTCATTCCCAGCTCCCTCGAGCAGGACACCCTCGACAATCTTCACACAGGACATCAGGGTGTGTCGCGTACGACGAAGCTGGCACAGACCACGGTCTGGTTTCCGGGCATTTCCAATAGGATCAAGGCCCTGTTCGAGGCTTGCCCCACATGCCGTGAGTTCCGTCGACCACACGTGGAACCACTGATCTCATCAACGACACCACCCCGACCATGGCACACCGTCGGAATCGATCTTTTCCAGAATGACACTCACCAGTTCATCGTGGTCGTTGATTACTATTCTCGGTATCCCGACGTCCTACGGCTAACATCCACGACATCCGCCCGCGTTATCGAGCACCTCACCTCTGCCTTTGCTCGTCACGGTGTTCCCGCCATTATCCGTTCCGACAATGGGCCGCAGTTTTCTTCAGCAGAATTCCACTCATTCTCTCAGCGCTTGGGTTTCGAGCACCAAACCAGCAGCCCTCACTATCCCCAGTCAAACGGTGAAGTCGAGCGAGCAGTCCGCACTGTCAAGTCACTCCTGGAGAAATGATCAACAACTGCTGACTTTCAGATGGCCTTGCTGGCTTATCGCAGTACCCCACTGGGCTTCACTAAACACAGTCCAGCGGAGCTCCTCATGGGTTGGCGTCGCTACTGCCGTTGCCACCGCCGCAGAGCTCCTCCAACCGTCTACCGTGACCCCAGAGTCGTTTTCTGCTTCTGATTCGTCGCAGAAGGAGAAGTCCGTTCGGCAGTACAACCTGCGTCACCGCTCAGTTATTCAACCAGCCCTTTATCCAGGCGACGAGGTGATCGATATCTCTACGCCTAGTCGTCGCATCCGTGGATCAGTCGTCGGCACTGCTTCCGAACCGCGGTCGTATCACATCCGGTTACCGTCCGGCATTGTTCGCCGCACACGCCAACACTTGATTGCTGTTTAGGACACCACAGTTATCTTATGGTTTGGCCGTTTCTCTTTCTTCTATTCCCTCTGTTTTCTCTCTCCCTCTCCGAGTCCATACTTTGCCAGTTCCAGCTCGTAACACTCCATTGTTTGCTGGATTTCAGCCCGCTATTCTTCGTTGTGTTTATTCAGTTCCATTTTTTCGGCTTCCCACCTACCCTTCCTCTGGCTGTGCTGCATGCAACCTGCTCGTGTTTTCTTTTCGCACGGCATTCTGTCTTCCTTATCCCTTCTGGGCCTAACCTGGGCCTAACCCGGCCCGTGAGGGGGGAGATGTAGTAGTAGTAGAGTAGTCTGCACCGTGCACGTATCCCGTACGCACGTGCCCTCACTATGCACGCACGCACATACCTTTTATGTGCTTCTTTCAATGATACATGGATGTTGATGAGAAATAAAGGGTTCTTCTTGACAACACGGCTGCTACGTGTCACTGTGGTCGTTGAAATTCTCAATACTCCTTGTCAGTTTTGTGCCATGTTCAGTCTCGCAACAGCTGACTGTGCACGATCTGGTTACATTGGTGGACAGTTAGTCAGAACTCGTGCCCTGCAGGCCAAGGCCATCCCATGGATGAGGGACAATGTACAAGAGTAAATAGCGTTAAGAAATTAAATTTACTATTGCCATTAGCTTTACAAAAGGAAACACTTTTATACACCTATTGACTACTTTTGTCAGAGACGCAGACAGTGAATGGTGTGTTTTTTGCTTACATTCTACTATCTACGCAGCGCGAGGAGACATGCTTGGACCTTGCATGTCGCAATTACTCAGGATCACCTCTGTTGTGCATGGAAGCAATACTGCAACACTGTATTACAAATCTTGGTACAGAAAAGGTGAGAGGTACTCCATGGTTCCAAATAGACTTACTGCAGAACGTTGTGGAGACTGTATTGCAGTCATTGTCTTGAAAATCAACCCACAGCAGCTATTCAACTAGAAATGGATTGTCTTCTGCATGTGTCAAATGGCTCTGAGTCATTGAAGCACTATTGCAGCAACTGTTACTACCTTCCTGGGTGGTTCAAATGGCCTTGTTGTTGCCTGTTCATCCCCTGAGGAGAAGGCATTAAAGATTACTTGTGAAACTCTTTCAAAACCTTGTGGTGTTGAAGAACCTGACGTTTCTGCTCTTTCTTACTGTTGGAGCATTTTTATCTCCGAGGAAACTGTTGTACTCTTGTTTGTTGAATGTTCATGGACGCTAGGCACTGGAGATGGCACGATCATCTAGAAACGTTAGCCGACACGAAAATGCCAGGACTCTCGAGGTAAATGGACGTTCTCCTGGATGAACTGTTTGAATTTGAACGTGTTCCAAGGAATTTAAAATTGCTTCTCAGGTTTTGAGTTAGGCAGTGCATAGCAGTGTTTGCACTAGGATTTCTAACTTGCGGCAACCGGTGTTGTCGCCACTCACCTGTTCTGTAAATGTTTCAAGACAGCCTCTTGAATGGTACACGTGTACCTGGCGCAACTCTTGCAACCGGGTCAGAGCCGGGTTCGTAATTATAATAATTTGGGCCTGGTATAAATCTGGCTTTGGAAAATGTATTTTCCATTGCTATCATGTTCGGCCTCATTTTCTCTGTGCTGCGCGGATGAGTCCACAAAGGACGAAACAGTTCTGTCCGCAGCTTGAGAATAATAATAATATCTTTATTAGGATGACCGAGAGGCTTGTCGCCTAATCAAGGGGTTCACCGCTTCAAGTGCGGCTGCTGTATGTACATTTTGGAGTCGTATATAGCTTACGACTCCCTGATGTGCACGTTGATTTACGAAAAAAATGTCTGAGCAATGTGTACTGGGCACTCTGTTCACTCGTTTCTGCACATCCCTGCAGCCTGGCCTGGTCAGGGTGTACCTAGGGGTACTTAACAACGGTTTTTAGAATTACATGGTGTCTGGTTTGTACCCCCTTGAAGCCCCAAAAATAGCACTTGACCTGTACACTCCCAACCGGGCCACAATTGACCTGGTGTTCATTTTTTCAAACGGATCCATGTATCCCCTCCCCCCCCCCTACAGTATAGGTGCTTCATTCTCTTGTTCTATTGTTAGGGCACTCCTCTGGTGAAAACTCTCTCCTACTCCTGTTGTGGTCCCGTTATTGTACCCGATCCGTTCCGGGATCGGTTACCCATATGCATTCCCGTACTGTGTACATATATGGATCCTGGTTGTGCATCTTTATCTTTCCTTGTTCTATGTAAATAAACTTTAGTTGTTGTCTGGGACTTGTGGAGTGAAGTTGATCTTTGGAGTGCAGGAACTAACTTGATGTTCACTAATGAACATTACATGGTGTCAGAAGTAGCAGTTAGTCATGTCGTCTGCCAAATTCCCTGTACCTGCCCAGTTCGATTTCTCCACCCCAGAAGCATGGCCACTCTGGAAGACCCGTTTTGAACGCTTTAGTTCTTTGTCCAAATTGGACAAGGCGGACGGGCAACGCCAAGTAGACACATTAGTTTACTCCATGGGAGCCGAAGCCGATCCTATCTTTGAGTCTCTATCTCTGTCCTCGGATGATAAGAAGAAACTCGACAAGGTACTGGAGGCATTTGACAAGTATTTTCGCCCGGGTGTAAACGTAATCCACCAACGGACATTGTTTGAAAGGTGTGCCCAGAACCCAGGTGAATCCGTGGAAGAGTATGTGCGTCGTCTCCGTGCCGCAGCCAAATACTGCGCGTTTGACAAGCCCGATGAGCGTATCCGCGACAGGTTAGTGGCCCATATGACGAACCGAGAAGTTTCGAAGAAGCTACAGCTCGAGGATCACGCTCAGCTGACACTCGAGACTGCCGTGAGCTTGGCACGCAAAACGGAGTCCGTATACGCCGAGGTTGCCCAGCAAACGCCCCGGGTGAGCCAAGCTGCTGCAGCTACCTCACCGCAACGGAAACACGGCAAGTCCCCTGCTTACGCAAGTTACGGATCGACGGGAAAGCGACCACAGGTCAAGTCCCAACGAGACTCGAGCAACAGTAAGAAATGCTCGTGGTGTGGCTCCTCCAAAGACCACAAATCGAACCATGACGAATGCCCTGCCAAGGACAAGTCTTGTAACAAGTGTCGTAAGTCTGGACACTTCGCCAGCATCTGACGGTCTGCCTCCGCCAGTGCACTACACAACGATTATGTGCATGTAGCTGAGTTTGACTTGCAGTCGGACCCCGTCGGCGAAAATTTCCTTGGAGCTGCTTCTACCCACACCGCTGACGAGCCGTGGATAGTACGACTGGATCTGTGCGGCTCACACCTCGATTTCAAAATCGACACTGGAGCTGATCTCAACATTATGACGCAGGCCAGCTACAACGCTTTATCTGCACCGCCAGTACTCAGTCCGTGCCAGACACGTATGATTGGGCCTGATGGGAACCAGCTCACGATACAGGGTGAGTTCCACACTTGTGCTGTGTTCCGTGATGTACAGTACCCAGTCACTATCCTGGTCATTGCCACCGGTGGTGTCAACTTGTTGAGCAGGCAGACATCTGAACAGATGGGCCTAGTACAACGTCTTCATGTTGGCTCTTCAGATGCCCAGCCGAAAATCGGATGCATGCTAGGCAAGCCAGTCGAGATTGAGTTGAAGCCAGACTGCAAACCATACAACTGTGTAAATGCTCGACGCATTCCAATACACATTCGCCTCAAGGTTCGCACCGAGCTGGAGCGTATGGAAAAAGCAGGTGTCATCACAAAAGTCGAGCAGCTGACCGACTGGTGTTCACCCCTCGTGTCGGTCCTCAAGCCGAACGGCAACGTGCGTGTATGCGTAGACCTCAAGCGCCTGAATGCCAGCGTCAAGAGAGAGCACTACCCATTACCGACCGTGGACGACACGCTCGCACAACTCAACGGTTCTACCATATTCTCTATGCTGGACACCACGTCTGGCTTCTGGCAGATCCCACTCTCCGAGGAAGCGTCGTTGCTGACGACGTTTATCACTCCCTATGGCCGCTTCAAGTTCGAGCGCCTTCCCTTCGGCATAACGAGCGCACCTGAGATATTCCAGGGCCGGCTACAAGGTCTACTCAGCGATATTCCCAACGTAGCAGTGTTCATAGACGACATCATCGTCTATGCTTCATCGATGGCTGAGCATGATGCTGCTCTGCTCGCCGTCGAGAACCGACTCCGTGATGCCGGTCTGACACTGAATCCGAACAAGTCTAAGTTCAGATGCACGTCCCTAAAGTACCTGGGCCATCGGATCAGCGACAAGGGTGTCCACCCTGACCCAGTTAAGCTGGATGCCATTGAGCGCCTCGCAGCACCAGCTGATGTGGAAGAGCTCCGTCGTGCACTCGGACTCTTCACGTACCTCTCCAAGTTTCTGCCGTCATTGTCGACCGTAGCCGCCCCACTGCGTGAGCTACTCCGGTGCGACGCGACGTGGCAATGGACCGAAGCACATGAGCTAGCTTTCACAGAGCTCAAACGCCTAGCTGCCTCAGCCCCGTGTCTCGCGTACTACGACCCGTCTGCACCGACCATCGTCACGGCTGATGCGAGCAGCTATGGTTTGGGTGCTGCACTGCTACAGTTCCACGACAATGAATGGAAGCCGGTCGCGTACGCCTCACACACCATGACAGCAGCAGAGAAACGGTATGCCCAGATCGAGAAAGAGCTCCTCGCCTCGGTCTGGGGATGTGAACACTTCCATCAATACCTCTACGGAGCGCCCTGATTTACCATTCACACGGACCACAAGCCGCTGGTCCCACTAATGAACACGCGTGACCTCGACCGAGTACCTCTACGCTGCCAATGTCTACTGATCAGACTCATGCGCTATGATGTACAGGCGGAGTACGTGCCTGGCAAGAACATGGTTCTTGCCGACACGCTGTCCAGAGCTCCTCTTCCTGACACGCCAGCAACCGAATCCGACCTACACAGTGACTCGGAAACCACCATCGCCGCTGTCCTGTCGTCTCTATGCAGTCCTACCAAGCATCACGCTCTCGTTACAGCCACTGCTGACGATCCAGTCCTGCAACAAGTAATCCAGCATACCCTTCATGGCTGGCCGACCAAGGTCAACGCAGACCTGGAAGCCTATCGCAACGAACGTGGCTCACTCTCAGTTCATGACGGTCTGCTGTACCACGGATTTCGGATCGTGGTCCCGGCATCCGAGCGCAACGCTACACTTGCCACTTTGCATGACGGTCACCAAGGCATAACCAAGTGCCTGGCCCGTGCGAAGTCCTCCGTCTGGTGGCCAGGTATCACACGTGCCATTTCAGAATGCGTGCAGAACTGTCTGACCTGCACCAAGCATCGTTTTCAGCCGCCAGAGCCTCTGTTTCCAACTGCGTTTCCCTCTTTGCCATGGGAGAGAATAGGAGTCGACCTCTGCCAACATGACGGTCAGGAGTACCTCATTGCTGTTGACTACTTCTCCAGGTACGTTCACGCCTTCCCGCTACGGAAGACTACCTCTGGAGCCGTCATCAAGGAACTCCACGAGCTGTTCGCCATCCATGGCATCCCTCAAGCTCTTGTGTCGGACAACGGTCCACAGTTCGCAAGTGCTGAATTCGCCGCATTCACAGCTCAAATGCAGCTCACCCATCGTACCAGTAGCCCGCACTACCCACAGAGCAACGGTGAAGCTGAGCGAGCGGTTCGAACATTCAAGCGTCTCCTCAAGGCCAACAACAGCCTCAACAATGCCCTACTCGGTTACAGGTCAACGCCCCTCGCAAATGGCTACTCGCCAGCCGAGGTCCTGTTTGGTCGTCGTCTACGCACACATCTCCCATGTACAGCGGAATCCCTCGCTCCAAGTTGGCCTGATCTTGCCAAGCTAAGGTAGTTCGAGGTGAGGCAGAAAGACAGACAGAGTGAGACGTACGACTCGTCACACCGAGCACAGTCTCTGCCACCATTGACCCAAGGCGACCGAGTCTGGGTGCAAGATCTCGCTTCCGAAGCCGTGATTGCAGACCGCGTCTCCGAAAGATCCTATATTGTCACGACTGACAACCTGTCCGAGTACCGCCGCAACCGTTGCCACGTCAAGTTGCTACCTGATGTGCAACCAACACCAACACCGCAGTTGAATGTCACTACACCTGCAGAGCCTGATGTCGAGTTCCAGCCTACCTTGCGCCGATCAGCTCGTCCATCCCGGCCGCTGAACAGACTCGACCTGTAAACGCATTAGTCATTACTCATGCTATGATCACTCCAGTCGCTGACGCTGATGATCGTGAACTGCATGTAGTATTTGTCTGGCTCT